TTTTTTTGCATGGCGTTTTGAGCAAGGTGGGCGAGCGTCATGACGCACAAGTAAACCGCGAGTTACAAAATATTCGCTTTCGCATGACAGGTGCACTGCAAAACTTTAGAGCTACAGGCATTCTGAAGCAAAATGACGGGAACATACATTGACAAACTTGACGGGAGGTGAAGGCCCGATTGTTTCCACCCAAATGACTCGCAAATTATTACCTATGAAGGTATCTTGTCAGTACCGAAACCATGGTTGCAATCACGAAGCTTGCACAATTCACTTATGCAGCGGAACCGCTTTTACGGGTACCGACATCTTCATTCTATCATCTACATGCGCACATGACCAAACAAAGTGAACTGAAGCAGAAAAGTGAACGTTGGATACTATGCACTTCGGCTAGTTGGTGATTATTATTTCTGAGGGTAAAAGCACTAAAAACAACGGTCAACTAAAAAAAAAAAAACGAGCACCACAGAGCGCTACTTGCAAGTGAAGTTTATTCTCGGAAAACATACATATATGTACACCGTGAAATCACGACATGTGCGACAGAAATGCGACATCATCCAATATGTGCTTGTCCTATCTGCTGTCTACTTTACAAAAGTATTTTTAAAACGCCACCTCAGAGCCAAACAGGGCTATCGATGGAGTGCTGACACACGTGCCTTCAACGCACTCCGTTATGAAAAACGCTTCGAACATCCCCCTTGCCTTTTTGTTTCGGTTTTGAGCTAAGATAATAGTGTTGTCAAATTTCGAGACACACCCACATCTGTCACAGGGCACAGTGCACAGCCTGATTTGCCGAGAGTGACGATTTGACTGACAGTGCATGCTTCCTGAGCCTATCATTTATACAACGTCCCGATTGGCCTATGTATACTTTGACACGTGATAAATAAATCTTGTAAACCAAGCCCTCACTACACTCCACATACCTGGTCTTATGTTTCTTCTGATAGACATTGACGCGTGTCTCCCCTCGCCCCACTTTTCCATATAATCTGCCCAATGTTTGAGGAGCTGAGAGTAATACAAGAAACCCTAGTGTTTGCCCTACTTTCTTTATATTGTTGCTCACCTTATGCACATAAGGTATTACAACTTGTCTACGCCTTGGCTTCTCTCTTACAACACCACATCCTCCACGAAGTTTCTTTATCAGGCCTTCTGCCACCCCCACGAGAAGTGTAGGCGGAAAGTTTCCTTCCTCTAGCTTCCCAACCTGGAACATAAAGTTGTCTTCTATCTTATGTGGGCAGGACTTTGTTCAGGAAGCCCTCAGGCCTGTAGACACAATGCCCATCTTAATTACCTTTGAGTGATTAGAATCAAATGTCAGTTAGATCGTCACCCTCGGGAATTCTGGTTGTGTACTGTGACAGATGTGGGTGTGTCCCGAAGTTTGACAACACCATTATCTTAGCACAAAACAAAATGACAAGCGTGATATCCGAAGCGTTTTTTATAACAGAGTGCCTTGAAGCGCACGTGTGTCAATGCTCCATCGATAGCCCTGTTTGACTCTGAGGTGGCGTTTTTTTAAATCGTTCGTAAAGTAGATAGAAGTTAGACAAGCACTGATTGGATGGTGTCGCATTTCTATTGTACATATCGTTATGTCACGGTTTATATATATGTATGTTTTCTGAGAATAAACTTCAATTGCAAGTACCGCTCTGTTTTGTTCATTTATTTTACTTGTCCGTTGTTTTTAACGCTCTTACCCTCGGAATTAACGTAGGATGCTAGGCTTATACGAAAGTCCAAGTACGAAAATAAGCACCCGCACAACGCCTCTGAAAGCGTGTACTTTTGACAGTTGTTTGCAGAAAACTTCGTCGGTTAACGGGATCTTTCTCTAAACAACTCGGTGAACATGAAACCACTCGTGCTCACAAAAATAAATAGAGACCTCAACGAGCTACGTGATGCATGAAAGCGCTCTGAGCAAACGCAGGCAGTCATGTTTGTTATCGTTTGAAACCGAAGCGGAAAAGGCAATCTCTGGATATTTTATTTTTTTTACACTAATAACCCCCTTTATATTATTTGCTTCTCAAACATAAAATGCTGTCTATTAAAATACTATTACACCAAGGAGAAACACTTTGAAAAAATACAGTTCACACGTCGATGATATATCCAGTGAATGAAAGGTATAAGAACTGCGTAACCACTTGGTGGGGCTAAATGGCCGTGACCTCCACCTTCACCACCTAAATTGCGTATGGCGCCGTACATATTGCGCCAAGAAAAAATATTTATTTTGAAGTTTTATGAAAATACGTAAGTACGTCCCATATACGCCCTCAAGAATGTTTTTCAGTGTATTCTTATTTGAATGAGGGGTATGGCCCCAAATAATGAAATAGGCTGTGGACAAAAAAATGTCTGAATGTACAGAAAAGTTTGCCCAACTAAAATATAACTAAGATATATGCTTTACTTAAAAATAAACATTAACATTTTTATACACTAATTACAAACGGGCAGACGCGTTACAGCCACTCGTGAGTCTTCACACGCGACTTGCTCATCCGCGCCGGCCCGCTGCCATTCTGCTTTCCGATTTAAAGAAGCACGACAGACAAGCACTGACTCTATGCAATCCGATCGATGGCAGAACTAAAACAAGATTAGCAGATTTCTCGGCCTCTGTGTTAAATTTTAAGGTTGACAGTTTACTCCTTACATCGAAATTTTTATTGACCCGTCTTCCTACTTTTGGGACCTGTGTTTTGCTTGTACGTTGACGTTCATTTTTTGATTGGGGAAGTCATTCAAAAATTTATACGTTAGGATCCACATTTAGACGTACCGTGAAACATGCCGGAGAGGTCTGCACTCTTGCTTAGCGAATGTAAACTTTCCCCGAAATGTATTCTAGTGCTCAGTTTTATTTTCTAATATACCAAAGGCGTTAATCTCTTCCAAAAAAGAGTAAAAACCAAATCATTCGACACTTGCACTTCGAACCCACCGATGCAAATGCCATGTGATCGATCGAGAGACGTGGCGTAATTTGAAGAACTCAGAAAATGTCGTAACTACCATAGTCAATAAAATTAAATATAGTATTCGCGTAATTCAACTTATCTCTGAAAGTAAATCTGTAAGAATAACAGTTTTGGAAAAGCGAACATCTAGAAGCAAACAGGCTACCGGCGCTTGTCTCGCCTGTATCGTAATTTTTTCTTTCGTATGGGTTGATGGATGGATCAACATGGCTCAGAGCCGTATATGTAGAGAGTTTCGCCATTCGTTGGGAAGTATAGGAGACAAATAAGCAGGCACCGTTGGCCGAAAGCGGGCTGGGCGTGTTCCAGGGCGTCTTCAGAAATTCAAATGTTACCAACCAGAAGCCGGAAATAATACCCTGGTGGTGGTCGCGAAAAACAAACCTGATAAGTTTATCGGAGTAACTCTCTGTGACTGAAAAAAGGGTACACGTTATATTTCAATCACGCTCATCCAAAATGATGGTGGAAGAGTGTGAGTAGCGGAACGATCGACATAATCCTTACGCCAAGCGCCGAGGGCCGGGAATCTGTCGTTCGAGCGGTCACACTCTGTCCGAGCGAAACAGAGTTGAGCGGCACATTCGTTTCTTACGTCTTTCTGCATGATCATGATCGAAACTTCACGTGCACTCTATTTTCAACCACGAAGAGTTGCTACACTCCACTTTTACGCGCTTATTAAAACTATGTACGAACATAAACCTTTGATCAGAACTGTTTCTCGCTACCACCGCTAGGGGATTCTTTTCGGCTTCTGGTTGGCCAAGAGAGCGTGCCAAGCCCTCTTTCCGAGTCTGGTGCACGCCCTGGCTCTGCCCGCGCCTCCCATTGACCGAACTCTCTATATACACGGCTCTGATATGGCTGAACCCTTTTAATCGAGCTCGTGATTGCATCATTTAGCTTTCACATGTGGAGCCACATCTCAACAGAAGCAAATATGGAAGTCCACCGTCTAGGTCTGTCAGACGTTGTAATGTTCAAAATCGCGTGGTCACGTTTTGCTGAAAGAAATTTGGGATGCAAAATACTGCGATAATATAAAGCTTTTGATAAAACATTTACGCCGCTTTAGCGCAGGTACCGTCTTGTCCGGATCACTCTACCGCGCATCCGAATGTCGATGCCCAGCTTATATAATTGAGAAAAAAAAAAGTGCTGTATATATTTGAGGGGAAGAAAGTGTGCTGAAAAGTATTGGCGCGTAGCTCCCGCATGGTTTTGTGCCCAGCAGAAGAACGACCATAGATGGCATGCCTATTTTTTGTCGAGCTGGTTGCTCAAATTATCTGTGTTTGACAACGTGGAACCCCTACCAGAGTGGGATGCTTGTTTGAAGATCTAACAGGCATGAAATATTTTTGAGAGTCCAAACGGCCATAACAAAGGGCATGTGATTAATTTTTAACCGATGTGTGACTTCTTCACAAAAAACAAAGTATTGCCATGTGCGTGTCCAAAAGCCCTTAGTTCTCCAGCAGAGGTATTGGGTTCGGGCCACGACGGCCAAGCATTTTAGTTTGCCATTCGTTGTTTTTTTGTAATCTTTAATTTCATTCTCTATAGTTTTCGTCTGTTTTAGTTAGAACCTTACTGAATATTGAACGTGCATAAAAGCAGCCATAGCGCGCTGCGTCGAGGCAGTCCCACTTCCGTCGTAGTTCCAGTATCTGGGTTTCCCCTTTTGTTGACGTAGAGGCACAAGTTGCCAATATTAAACGTAAACTTTCATCTGCACTTTTTTATTTGTGGTAATATATGGTTGCCTCTCACTGGAAGGGATGACAGTATTCTGTGGAAATATCGTTATGTGTAATCTTTTATAAAAGAAAGAGTATTATTAATATTAAACACGTCCTTACTGAACGGGTTCTCTCAAATCACTGGTGTCCTTATATTGAAAAGAGGGGGTGAACGACTAAAAAACAAAGTATAAATAAAAACGAAAGCTTTGGACATATTAGCGCACGATCAAGAATGGTGCAGGTGCATTTTAGCACGAAGGTTCGCAATTTTAATAGGTTAGGCTGATGACATCAATAAATGAAAAAAATCCCCACGAACGTCATTTGCCGAAAGCAAGTATCGTAACTATGGCGACCATAGACACAATCTTCCTTTCCCTTTCTCTCGCAGCCGGATTTTTTATCGTGTCTTTTCTGTCTCAACGAGAAAAAAATCAATCGGAGAAAACCCGTGGCTAAAGACATTCGCCTGGCTCTTACTTCGATAGAACTCTGCGCGACCCGCAAGAGGGAAGCCCATTTTGTTCTTGGTCAGCGAGACATGGAACGGAATGAGACCTTGTTTGACAACAAAGAAGATGCCAACGATGTCGTTTGGATACTGACCAGCTCCTTTCTTATCTTCACAATGCAGTCCGGTGAGAGATATCGTGAATCGCGCACTAAAAAATGCCTGCGCGTCTACTTACCGCCAAAACGCTCAAAGAGTGTTTTGCCGGTAAGTAGACGTAATGACGTGACGGTAAGGGATGAGGTGAACATCCGTTCAGACCTAAGAATAATGTCTGCGCTCTGGAATCACGTAACGCAAAGCGTCATGCTTGCATTGCGCAATGCCACCATACAAAATTTTGAAGTCAAAACAGACGTTCCGACTCCTCATTTGCTGAGCTGGTTTCGTAGATCGCAGAGATTGGCTCTTCGAGTGTTTTGCGGGTAAGTAGGTGCGCAGGTTGTTTTTGTTTTTTTTCAATTTAGCTTTCTTTTATTTACGAACTCAAAAGTTTAACGCTGATTCGCAGCGAAGGCGCTTTTTGTATAGTTCAGTATGGCGCCCGAAGTTTCTTTAGTGGCATACGCTTTTCTATCGTCTCACTCCCTGCAGTGTAGATTGCCGACAGTTATTAATGGATTGACCTGTTTCTTTCATAGACAGTTAGCTTTTGTATAATCTTAGGCATCCTTTGTGGTGCTAATACGGTGTTAGGATAAATATTGCCTAACTCCCGCACAAAACAAATATCACACCAGCATGAAAAAAGGGGTATTAAGTAAGGCTTGCGAATTCAAGCCGTAGTCATAAGACCAGAAATCTCATTATATCCTTGGCGACTGGAAACGCTATCTACATGGTATGAGTTGAAGTCTCTGAATATAAAAATTCACAAATTAGAGGGTTTTCTCAAGCGCTTCTCATTTGTAAAAAAAGTTCGTATTAATATAAGCTAATAAGTGGATTCTTATAAAACTTCCAGAAAAATGTCTTTACGAAGTGAATTTCTCCTACTCAAATTTTGTGATTATAACCTTCTAAGAAAAATGAAGAGAAGAAACACGTTTCTTTATGCACAGAGAAATGCTTGAAATTAAAATATATAGGGACAGAACGAGTGGGTTGGTATGGATAAGTAAACTTGAGGAAGAAAACGAGAAGGGACGGACAAACACAAACTTGTTTGTGTTTCTACGTCCCTTCTCGTTTTCTTTCTCAAGTTTAAAATATATGTTTGCGTTGCGACGGCACCACCTAGAAAAGAAACGTAAAAGCTTCTTTGAGATGAATACCTTAAAGCATATACAGCGAATTTGAGCGTATATGGTACTCTCTGTGCGTAACATTGTGACATTCTTACTTTCTTCCTGTACAAAAGACACTCATTTTTATCTCGCATATTTTTTTTCATAAACTCGCACTCACAAAATTTTTATCATAGTATATGCACCACCTGAATATATATTTAAAAACTTCAATCGTAATTTGCTCATTGGCGTATTCATAGACTTTTTTTACAGCTGAATTCGCTTTGTAAAAGAATGTGCATAAGAAAAGCCAGGCAGCGCATTCTCTACCCAGCAATACTTAAGGATATATGTGACTGTCGTGACCTCCGAGAGCCTCGGCGTGCAACTTTCTAATTTAATCAACATTATAAAATGTTATTTTTATGTAGACATTGGTGTTGCTTTTCTAGTTATTGCTCCTATTTTTCTCCTTGCTGTTCGTCTATAACTTCTTGTTGTTCTTGTCTTTTTTTTCGTTGTTCTTGTTGTTGCTGTTCTTTATGCTCCTTGTTCAGTTTGATGTTGTTCTTGATGTTATTTTTGGTGTTCTTCTTGATGTTCTTTTTGAGGTTCTACTCATTGTTTTTATGTTTTTTGTATGTTCTTCTTGTTCTTATTATACTTGTTATTCTAGTTGTTGTTGTTCTTCGTCTTGTTCTTCTTGTAGTTGTTGTCTGTTGATTTTGTTGTTGCTGCTGCTGTTGGTGCGATTGTTGTTGCTGCAGTTGTTGTTGTCTCTTGTTGTCATCGTCGTCGTCGGTGTCGTTGTTGTTGTTGTGAAGATTTTAACACAAAAACTGAACAGAGTTCCCTGCGTGTTCGCAAATAGTAAAAAAGTGAGTGTAAAAATGAAAAGTAAAAGGTGTAAAAAGAACTCGGCTCAGTTTATTTTCCAAATTTGCAGGTTACGGCCTCCTGGAGTCGGGGTTTGTGTCCCGCAAGAACGAAGTCAACATCTTAGTGAAGAATGCAACCACTGTTTTGTTCGGGGGACTTGTATTCTGGGCATTCGGTTACGGTATCGGCTTTGACGACATGAAAAATCCTTACTTTAGCTTCGGTGAGTTTTTCACTAGCGCCGACGAGAGCCACATGGGACAGCGCTATTCCCGATTTGTCTTTCAGGTATGTTTTAATTTCACTGTAGCATTCTATAAAGCATCAAAAGAACTTGCGTTCTGACATAAATGCTCTGACATTAATAATCTGTAGTAAAAACTGTGCTCTGTCTGTGCTTAGAGAGCTGAAAATTAGTCCCAGTGAAATTCTGGTGCTTCCGCTCTGAGATGAGAAATGTTGCGAGTGCAGTATCACTGCTAGCCTGGGGTCTTTAGCGCGCATTATGTAACAGTGCACACCACCGCACACCGCTATGGTGCGGAAAGGCGTGCGTATTAAACCCAGGATCCTTGTGTTCTGCAGAACGAGCTTCGGCTCCACGTGCTCCGAGCTGCGGTGCGCTAACAATCCGCCATGGGTCAACCATGCACAAGCGCAAACGGTCCGCCGATGCAGCCGGATGGGACAACAGTGTGCACCCAATTGATGCATCCACTAAATAACCTTATAAAACTCTTCGACTTATAGGAGGCCGCCAGGTCCACGTGAAATGAAAAGTGCTGGACACGATGATTACGACGCGTGTTTGCTTTATAAAAAATAGATTGATTTTGCTTTATTTTTTTTTATTCACCTAAATGTGCGCATCATCGACAAGTTTGATGTTTAGGTCACAAATCATACGCAGCATAGTAAATTTTAAAGTTTGAAGAAGACAATGTACGTACAAATATAGAGGGGTGTATTCAGTGAGTAAAGGTGCATATGGCCGGTGATGTTATGACGTGTGCATAATGAGTCTGCACATTATTAACGTTCCTACGTCGCGGCACAACCTATTTTATTCCTGCGACATGCTTCGATGCAGCTGGCTTACGCCACCACCTCGACAACGCTGGTCTCCGGGGCAATGGCGGAGAGAACCAAGTTCACGGCGTACTGCCTCTTCTCCGTGCTGAACACGGCCATGTACTGCGTTCCTGCGGGGTGGATCTGGAACCCCGGAGGATTTCTGGCCCGCATGGGCGCTGTAGACATCGGTGGCTCCGGCGTTGTTCACCTGCTCGGGGGATGCGTGGGGCTCGTGTCAGCCATCGTTCTGGGGCCGAGGCTAGGCCGGTATGACCTCGGCACAGCGCCACTGCCGCTAGGAAACCCAACCAACGCTCTCTTGGGACTCTTCATGCTCTGGTATGTACAAGCAGCAGGAGTCCAACGTAATTTGTCTGTTAGAGCAGCACCGTTTTTGTTTAGAATATGCTTGTCGCAGTAGACACTCTCTTTCACAACGCATCTGTAAACTGCCGGCTTAGGAAGCGAAAAAAATATTATAGTATTTCTCTTTTATTAATTCCTTTATATGCTTCAAACAATCATATATTAAACAATGGGTATTGGTTCCAAAAGTTATATATATACAGGGTGACCCTAGTCATCAGGCTCGATCTAAAATGGACCGTAAAAATCGAAGCCTGCACGTAGCGGTTTTTTCTTGTAAAATTACAAAGCGTAGCTCCCTTTCCGTAAAAAACTGGACCAAAAAACTTGCCAGGGTAAACGGCGGGTGGCGACGCAGACGGTCAAGTCGAGTTTCGGAACGCGTTTGGCGCGCGTATTAATAGATGGCGTCGGGAGCAGCGTCAGAAGATGTAGCTGACCAGCGAAAGAAAGCAGACGACACGAAGACAGAATCCGTTGTCAACAAAAGCGCCGTCATTATGCAAATGCTTTTTTTTAAGTTTTGATTTTATTGTTTGCATTTTTTAACCAAAGCCATTACAACCAAGCCATTTAAAAATTACAAAAAAGATTATGTTCATCTTAATAAACCACGGTGGTCGCGAGCAGTCTCGCCACGCTACTCGACTTGGCCGTCTGCGTCGCCGCCCGCCGTTGACCCTGGCAAGTTTCCTGGCCCTATTTTTTACATAAAGGGAGCTAATCTTTGTACTTTTACAAGAAAAAACCGACCTGTGAAATACAGCTCTGACGATAACTTTGGATTCCTACTTGCTGGCGTCGATATTTGCGGTCCATTTTAGATCAAGCTTAGGGACTAGGCAGACCGTACATATATTTATATATATCAGGACTTCAATTTTAATTCGAATAGATTTATTCCAAAACATTCGTAAAAGGTAAATCATACCATTTGTGTAGGTGAGTTATGCTGTCAGGGGGTCATTATGTGGGTGTCTAATCTTTGAATTAAGTCGGCTTATTAATAAAAATGTGTCAATTAACTTTTGTAGTTAGTGAAAAAAGAGATCCGCGTTCCGCAACTGCTAGCTTTGCGCCTGCTGCACGAGTGTTAACTTTGGTGCGCCCTCGAGTTTCCCATGGGCTTCAAGTCGTTCGAAAAAGAGTTGATTTGGTGGTTTTAGATGATGCTCTCTAAGTTTCCATTTGGAACCATTTATCCGTTTTCACTAATTAGAAAAGTTAATTAACAAATTTTATTTAATTAGCCCACTTATCGCAGAAGTTAGCCACCCACATAATGTCCCCCTGGCGGTATAACTCACCTGCACAAACCATATTAGTGGATATTTTACGAATGTTTTGCAATAAAATGGAACACCCTGTATACATACAGGGCGTTTCACGAAAGGGGGACAAATTCTATATTTTGAAAGCTACGCGTCGGAACAAACAAAATCTTGTGTCGTTTTGGTCCTGGGCCAGGGACCTATTTAGGAAAGTTATACAAGTTCAAGATTATTAAGTTGTTAATTATTTTCGCGTAATTAACTTTTTAATATTGTGTTTAAGGGCATGGTTTCAATTAGAAAATTGCTCAGCATCATCAAAAAACACTAAATCAACAAATTGCCGAACGATAGAAGGCACGCGAAGCATTTCACAGCTTTCTGAAAAAACGCACAAATTCGACTTGGTTTTAAGTTTCGGTTTGCAATCGGAGCGCATCTCGGCCCCGCGGCACCGCGCCCCGTGAAGACATAGTACAACTAGCATCTGCTGCGCTGTCATCGCGCGACGCAGCAGAGGCTGGTTGCACTATTTCTCCACGGGGCGCGGTGCCTCTAGGGCCGAGATGCGCTCCTATAGCAAACCGAAACTTTAAAACCCGTCGTATTTGTGCGGTTTTTTAGAAAGCCGTAAAATGCTTCGCGTGCGTTCTATCATTCAGCAATTTGTTGATTTAGTGTTTTTCGATGATGCTGAGCAATCTTCCAATTAGAACCATGCCTGTAAACACAATGTTCAAAAAGTTAATTACGCAAAACTAATTAACAATCTAATTATCCCGGACTTTAATGACTTTCCTAAATAGGCCCCTGGCGTAAAACCAAAGCGACACAAGTCTTTTTTTTGTTGTGACGCCTAGTTTTCGAAATATCGAATTTGTCCACTATCGTGAAACACCCTGCATACAGTTATCTCTCGTTAACGTGTACCCCGTTAATATAGACACTCCCGTAATGGACACCATTTTTGGTGACAAACTAAGAATATACATGCAATTTTGTGTCTTTATTGAGGACGGCTCACATTATGGACGATTTTTCGGGAGAAAGGGGGTTACCATACTAACGACACATCAGCTAGTGTATATATATGTATATATATATATATATATATATAGCGCAATTTTCTTTTGTTGTTTGCTTTAGAACGTCGAATAATACAATCGTAAGAATTCCTGTGCCGTACGGGGCTGATAATAAAATCCACCTAAGCCACCCCTCCCCCCCTCTCCGCCCTTTTCTGAATGATACAGCAAAACACTCCAGCCGAATGCGACTCAGGACAGCGATAGCGCAAGTTTGCACTGGATATTCGGGGAAAACGCGCACTCGTCACGCACGTAACTGCTAAGGTAATAACCAAGTCCACGGGGTATAAAAACGACACGAATCATTTGCACTAACGTTCAAAAGTTGACTTCTGCATTGCCATTCGTTTTTTTCGGCGCCCACTTTTGCCGTAATCTCCATCGACACGCGCATGTTTCTTCATTTCATGGTGACTATATAGTCATTAGCAGCTGAAGAAACGCAAGGCGTGGCTTATTAACTCCCCCCCCCCTTTCTTTCGTAAATTGGTATTCGACGGTATTATTGGCTCACGCCACAATCGCATTGACGGCGGAACAATAATAAGATGCCGGGGCCTCGCCGCGCTTCGTGTTTATTCAGCTGTCAATCCAATTTTGTGATTAATTGCTCACAATTTATTCGTGGACACATTGTAGGTGGGGCTGGCTAGGATTCAGCGCCGGAAGTACGATGGGAATCGTACGAAATAAATGGAAGTATTCTGCTAGGTAAGACTAAATTGCAATCTTTTATATTTTTTTTAACACAGCAACTTCCGCGTCAATATGCATTACACGTAACCATTTCGCTCTTGTTTTATGTTCTACTATAGAGCTTCGGTGACAACCATACTGGCATCGATGACTGGTGGGTTTGTTGGAATGTCCATGAGGTAAAGGGCGAGCTTTCTTAAAACTTATTTGAAGTTCACGAACACATCAATATTTGTACGCATTGCACTCGCGATGGCTAACGGGCTTCTTCGGAACAAACCCAGTACCGAACTGAGCGCCGTATCAAGCTAAAGAAGTTAAATTCGAAGATGCTCGTCAATTACTATTTCAGCTGGGAAATGTGGAATTGGTGGATTTTATGCATTTTTGTAAACGACCTAAAGGGACGCATGTAAACAAAATTTCTGCTAAAAGGATTTGTATTTAGCATCCTCAATACCACGCGAACTTGTTGTCAGGGTCATAAAGCGAAGCTCTGGTGCATTGGCCAATGTTTATGAAGTTATGTGGTACTAGAGCAAAATATTCTGAGGTAAAATAACGGTATTCATCTATGCAGATTGTTAAACTGGTTTGGCAGAGGCTTACAAGTATTTCTTGCCTTACCATTAATATTCTACGAACGATTTTCTAGACACACTTAACCAGTTGTTTTGGATTAAAATTTTATGTCACTAAAATATTATATTTGGAGCCAAATTTATTTTTGATATAACATTTCTTTTTCTAGCAGTCTGTTTTTCGCAAGAGTCACTGTAACAAAATCAGATTAATTTTTAAACACTTAAGCGCGTTTTGTCTTCGGTAGTTTGCTGCTTTTCCCTGACTTCATTAACTAACGCAATACGATATATGCAAGATAATTATTGGGACAGATGGCTACGCAACATAGACAATAATCAGAAATTTCTTTGGTAATGATATGTTCTACGCAATAAATAAATTTGGTCTACGAAGATTGCAGTGATTTTCGTCTTTCGTCAGTAAGGTTGTAATTTGGTTCAGTTGGTATATCTTGAGCATGACGAAAACGAGCACAAAAGGAAACAAGGAAAACTTCTATGAAAACAAATTACACACGTCAGATAATTGGGACTTTGTGTTTTGCTTTTCCTTAAAAAAGAATTGCACATTTATTGCATAGCTCCATTTTGAAACGATGCTTCGCTCACTGCCAACGAGAGGTTCCACTATGCTGACATGAGCAAATTTAGAAAACACCACTCAGTAAATACGAAAAAAAAAAGAAATGAGCACGATTATCTAAAGTCTTCGTCCATATTGCTTTGTTTTCTTTCTGTGACAGTCTTCGCTTGATAGTTCTTTAAACAGTAAACTGCAACTAGTCATTTTTTCTCGAAATCACAACTTTGGCTTGGTGCTTGAAGCAAAAATGTGCATTCCGTCCTGCTTTGTTTTCAGTTTCATTCTCAAGAAGGGGCAGCATGATGTTTCTTGGCTCATGAACACAGTCATGGGCTCCCTTGTGGCAATATCTGGTAAGCGTCCGTTAACCATCCCTTCAATGTATCCTGACTAAGAATTCGCAGTTTTAAGTCGGAGCTCGATTTCTTCTTCCCCCTTTACTGGTCCGCTGTCTCAATTGACTCTTGGATTCTTTCCAGTGAAGCCTCCACATAGGTTTTTAGTCCTCTGTGTAGGATCAAAAGGCTGCAGAGCTGAGGATCATTTCACTAGAGCCTCTTTAGCTCATATGCCGGGGGGGTACGTGCTGTACGTACCTGGACGCAGGTTTGTAAGTTACCTAGGTACAAGTAAGTGCACATCTGTAACTGCGTACTTTTGATGTACCTAAGGTGCAAACCTAGGCACTTTTATTTTTTTGTAGCTATACTTGTAGCTTTCGTAGATTTTCGATTAAATTTTAACTTAGTGAAGTTACATTTTTGAGGTACATTTTGTTCGCTTTAGTCCAATTATACAAACTGAGAACAGGGAAGTATTGACGCGTTAAAGTGGAGCTGAAGGGCACACTTAGTCAGAGATAACAAACATCAAGATAAATTCAAGTGGTCTCATGTGCTTGCCCTGCCCCCAAAATTAATACATTAATTTTGCCAGCAGGAGACGACATACGATCGTTAAGAGCGCACTGCGTTGTAGGCGAAAAGAAGTAATAAGATATCTTCCACGTTACTTGCAAGTAAAGGTTCTTAGAAATTCGACAAGAAAAGAGCTTGCTAATTGCTGTCATCTGTCACTTAAAATTTAAGATCGCGTGGATAAACAAAGAAGGTGGAATGCAAGCGCGAATGGGACTATCTTAAAAGTGATCTCATGCGAGTTCGAGTATGGAAAAAGCCCCTCACGCGAGCAAAGTTGTAAAGAAAAAAAAACCTACCAGCATTTTCTTTTTTTAATTTCAAAATGTTTGATTTTATGTGCTCTATGGAAGAAAAAGTTCATTAAACGCACTCAAATTGTTCCAACAAGAAATATGAAATGCCGCAAGCACACGCGACTGCTAAGAAGCGTGTTCTTAAAATTCAACACAGGCCTTCCGAGCAGGGCGGCACTGGTGAGCGTTTTTAGCGTGAGAGGAATAATCGCCACTCTGCGATCGAAAACGTCGGGGCAAACCTTCCGAGGAGGTACTGCTTCTAAAGCCGAATAGTGCAGCGAACTGAAAAAAATATAACAGACAAATATTCCGAGGAGCCGGTGGCTCTAAAAAAATAGAGCAGCGAAATGATAAAAAAAAATATAACATGCTGCCAAGGTTCCATGACTGACTGCTGTCTTTATTTCTGACGGGGACTCACCAATAAAGCAGTTATTTCGAACTTGTGATGCTGTACTTTCTTATTAAAGAAATAGGCCCGATTCAGAATATTTTATTATTATTTTGAGAAGATACATTTGGACATGGATAGACAGTGATACCATGCCATCAACTTTTATGACTTTTAGCAGCGATGGTATTTTTTTATGATTTTTAACAATCCGTTTATTTTTTGCAAATATTGCTCAGAGTTGGCATGCATTTACGTTGCTTGGCACGTCGGGGGCGGGGGGGGGGGGGGGGGGGGGGGATTTTCTCAAATAAAAAAGGCTTTCTGCTTTCCCCATTTTTGCTTTATTTCCTTTAAATGCGACCTTTGCGTTTAAAGGGCAACTCCGCTTCTTTTCCAGAAGTGCAAAACTATACAGTTCTCTTTATTATCATCTACAAAACCCCCATGGCAAATATTACGACGGAATTCCGCCTAGAAGTCATTAAAATCGCTGTCAAAGTTTGACAAGCACGAATCCGCTGGTTTTGGATGAGACGTGCGGGCCAGACAACACTGCCCGGCTGCATTTCCGCTTCCTACAAATTCCTTCTCCCGGCACGTCCCGTGACGTCATCAAGCATGTAGAGCTTTTTTTTCTTTTTTCAGTTTTGTTTTTCTTCTCGGGGAGAGCACGGGGTGGCGCCAGCGCCGTGAGAGACGTGAGTGACGCGCTCGGCCGGCCCGGCGCTCGACTAGACGCGCTCGGCCGTCCCGGCGCTCGGACTATTGATACTACTGATAGGCCCATCGCCTCGTTGAGCGCGGCTTGTGTGTTCAGTGCGCATACTTTTTGAACACCAAGTAAAAGGAGGAGAGGGAAGCTGCTTTTGTAAGAATTTTGATTGACAGGTTAATCTTCTATAATCTTCTGGGAGGAGAATAGCGACGCCAGTGCTAATCCAGGAGGCACAAAGGAGGATCCTGATAAGAGGGGAGCTCCTTCTTCCCCTTGTATATCACGTGGGTGTACATGCTTAGTGATGCCGAATATACAATGTTGTCCGGCTTTGCCACCGTTTCGGTTTTGGTTTGTGATCATGGCTAGAGTAGAATTACACGAAAAATATTTTATTTCTCGCGAAACAAAGGATTGGGGATTGTTTTTGAGTGCTTCAAAAAGCAAAATCAGCCACTATCTCAAAATTTTTGAAATTAAGCGGAGTTGCCCTTTAAAGGAACACAGGTTATTCATGCTCGCTAAGGTATTGTTCGTAAATGACATATAAGAGCCCGACTACCCAGAACACAATTTCCGGCTCGTAAATCGTTTTCTTTCCGCCCGAAAACCACCAATAGATCGCCTGGCAAAACCTAAAAAATTTTTGGAGGGCGTCAGTGTCCTTTTAAATGACCATTGTCTTTCTCTCTCTCTCTCTTTCTATCTATTGTGTATTATCCGTATTTTTGCACATTTCACGATGACTCTTTTAAACCAGTTTTGACTTTGTTTAATTCTATGATTAATCACGTGTTCATTTTTATTATCTCTAAAGCCGACAAAACGTTTTTTTTTTTTTTTTTTTTTTTTTTTTTTATCTACAAAACTTGAACTTGTACGCCATTGGAGTTTGCCATCAACGTTCCGCAAAACATTTTTGTTGGTCGAAGTGATCTTAACTTTCCTTTTTGCCGTTTTTATAAAAATAAAAGCATTTTTAAGTGACTGTATCTGTACTTCGGTGCATTCTTCAATGAATATCTGGATACGTCCCTCAGGTACAATTTTTCATGAGTAACTGTTCTGTATCTTAGGTATATTTCTTAATTTTACAACCTTTACGTGGAGGCATCGTCTTCCACGATGCTTTCTTTGGACATCGCACTAATAAGGACCTTCTACGCGAGAATTCTATTTGTACTCCCCTCCCCGCCCCTGCCCTGTAATGAGGTCTGCGGTAAAGCAGGATAATTCAAAACACCTATGTATTTACAACGCTCAAGTAACAAGTAGAACAAATAGTTAAAAATTTGTTCATATCATTTTCTACTTGCGATAAGAGTAAAAGAAAAGAAGAACTTAAGCATGCTGGTGAATTAACTTAACACGATAAACCCGAGACTCAAAACGAATAAAAAAAATCACATCTCCACGTGACGAATGATGTTGATAGGGGCGAAGCTCTGGTGGTGCTGATGATGCTGATTTTATTGTTCATAGGTAGTGCTGATATTTTTAATTGCTCATAGGTTGAGCTAAGTTCCGGGTTGCGTTTCGAATTCATTATTACTACTTTATGGCCGGTGAAACGCAGAGCCAGTGGTTCTTCTAGCGGATCAGCTTGGATCCGCTGCAAGCCGCAGGAATGCATCTCCACCGCTTAAATCAACGGTCCATGTCAGAAAGACGTGTGGTATGGGACTTGGTTATATACGCATTTGACCGCAGCGCCCTCTCGTCTATAAACGTTGAGCCAATGCATGCAAAGTTTAACGCGATTATATACGCATTTGACCGCAGCGCCCTCTCCTGTATAGACGCTGAGCGGCTACATGCAACGTTTCATCCATGACAGACAGATGGGATGGCAGTCGATGTGAGCACGAACGCTGGACGGATGGACAAGGAGCTTCGCCTCTAAGGAGCGTCACCCCTAAAAACGGACAACCACTCACTCCTTCCAGTGCACTAACCCTTTTCACACCGAAGGCAGATCTGAAAGTGCCGCGTATCCGGGTGTTCGGTTACAAGTAAAAAAAAACCTAGGTAGTCGAAATTACGTTCTCTGGGGCAGGCGATATGACCTTCGTTTTTTTTTGGCACGTGAAATTTCATTTGTGACTTTGACCCTGAAGGTGGCGCGCCCATCTTTCGTCCCTGGGCGGCGCTGACTGTGGGCGCAGTGGCAGCCCTCCTGGTGCTCATCGCCATTCCTATCCTGGACCGACTGCGGGTAGACGATCCAACCGAGACGTTCGCCTCGCACGGCATCTGCGGCCTCTGGGGATTGCTCGCCATCGGGCTCTTCCCCGAGCGTGACCATCTGCTCGACTACACCCGCGGACGCTCGGGCCTGTTCGTCGGCGGAGGTTGGGACCTCCTGGTCATCCAGAGCGTGACCGCGGGGTGTATCATCGCCTGGGCTATCCTCATGTCCGCTGTGCTCCTGGTTGTAAGGAATCCACGCCTTGCCTTGACGCTATAATATTTGTGGCCACATGTGGTGGCCTTGTTGCTGAGTGCACGCATTCTGAATCGCAGATTACACGCCACTGAATTTGTTCTTCTCGGCAACGACAGGTAGGAATGAGCACCACCATGGTGCGATGGCGTCACGTCCAAGCCACGTATACAGCGTCACCACGTTGCACCACGACGTCGAGTGTAGCAAAGGCGACGTAGTGCTGCGCACACAGATACTGATTAGTCGCAGATATCGAGTTTTTGCTTGCCGGCCAGTGAAACGCGCATTCCGTGCTAAGCTGCGTTCGCTGCGCTCAACGTCGGAGTATAACAAAGCATTTACTATATCTCCGGCTGTTGACAAAAAAGTGCGTGCAAGACAGACAGTACGATACTAATTCAATGAGGCAAATGAGCTAAGACAGCTTTTGGAGGTAATTTTAATACCTCTTTATTTTGGCTGCGGCCATATCGAATGATTAACTATGCAGCATCGAAAGTTTACGCGTTCTGTGGGCAGGATGTGGCGAAAAAAGCTATTGGCAATGGTTTTAAATACCCCTTAATTTTGGCTCCTGAAGTATGAAACACTGCAGATTTGACAGGCAGATCAGTACCTTATCTGTGCCGCGAGCCAAAATATGAAACAACCCGGGTGTGTATCAACGTAGAAAATAACACTTGGTTCGACCCTGAAATTTTGATTTGTGCCCAGATTTGTGTTCGTTACTTGAAAAATGCATTGAATTAAAATTAAAAATTACCGAGCCTCAAATGTAATGCATTACCATCACAAATTACTTTAGCTGAAAAATAACGGATTATTTCACTCGTTACGTTAAAATTACATTCACGTTACTTTTAAGTTTTTCCGTACACTTATCCAGGAAACAATGTAAACAATTTCGATAATTTTTAAAAACGTTCTGCTACACTACTTTTCATTTCTCATGCGCCCGTTTTGTGGTAGTTCCTGTAAAAATGAAATATTGTATTTAAAAGAAAGGGTGTGGGTGCGCTCCGTTCGCCTATACGCAGACAAGGCACCGAAAGCTGCCACTACACCCGCCATTCCGCTAGCTTACGGCCTCCAAAAATAATCCCTGGAATTGTACAGACAAAGCTAGTGGTGCGCATGCTCAGTAGCAGCGTCTACCTCCGCTACGAGATTCGGAGCTAAAAAAGCGATCTAGGAAAGCTCTGTTTTGACTCGGATGTTTCGCCTGTTATCCACAAGGAAAGAAAAACTTGGTTCTAACGTTAATATGTATAGCCAATGCATAATGCAGGTTACCCAGCTTACCTTGCTGTGTTTCAGTAGATAAGAGTTTGTTGTTCTTGCGGATGACAGTGCGTGTTTTTTGGCAAAAAAGTATGGACTCATACTCTAGGTTTCCGTTCTCCTTAATGCCCTGAATCTTGAACATTTCATTAAGAGATGGCCATGGAGACGATGAGCATTCCATGACCGAAAACTTGACCAGTCAGAGAAAAAGTGGCGTTTACGTTACGGGTTATCAATCTTTCTGCGGTTCTCACTTCCATACCCACATTCGTGGAGGCTAGGGGAGGGCAGGGCACATAGAGCGAGAGAAGCGGTCGCTATCGGTCTCACAAAACAATAGTATATCACACCACTTTTATGTGTTCTGTCTCTCTCTCCCTTTCTGTCAGCACTCCTTAGATGGCCTAACACCCCCCCCCCCCCCCCCCCTTTATGTTAACAGTCGACTGTAAAGTGAGTGGGCTCGACCACCGTGCCCAAACAAGTAAACCAAAAGAAGTATCGTCCGTACCTCGAAGACGATGCTGTTAGCCTCGCGCCGGGCGCTTTTCAGCCGTGCCTCAAGAGCGTGCTAGAATGCAGTACCGCACATCAAAGACAAAGGGAGTTGGACCCCGTCGCGCGAGGCTGCATCGTCTTTTACGCGAGTTGTGAACTCGCGAATCGAGCGGGTACGGACCCATGTTTGATGTCTGTGCGGGTGGCAGGAGACGTAGAAAAGTTGGAAAGGATGACACGGGGTAAAAGGCAAAAACAAATAAACACGAGAGCTTTTTGCTGCCCGGGAGAAGGAAAACATGATGGAAGGCGATGGAGAGCCTAGTCGGCGCTGTCTTGATCTTTGCCTTTCGTATATTTGTACATGCCTTGCCTGTTTTCCTAGTGGTTCTGCTGAGCGATCATTCTAAAGATTGTTTTCTTTTTAGCTATTCTCCCTTCCATATGTTTTCTATTTTGTGGAACTTCCTCTGCTGCTGAATGTTCTGCTCGTATTGCTCCAGTTGCTGTATTATGCTCAATTTTTTAAAAACTAACGAGTAATTAATGTACGACGAAAATAAACCTGGAGAAGGGGAACAAGAGGGACATAGGACAAACATAAATCTCCAAGCACAACTAGGTGACTGGTGCGCGACCGAAAAAATCCGCCTGGTACGGGAATCAAACCCGGGACCTCTTCATTACAGGTGGAGCGCTCGACAAACTGAGCTAACCAGGGGTTAGAAGTCAGTAGAGCAAACGGGTTTTATCAGCTGCCACCAGTCTAACACCAACAAGGGTGAAGCTTGTAATTTAAGGTAATAAGTATAATGCAATTAAATGCAAAGGTCCAGCCCGCTTGCACCTTTGCATTTAATTGCATTATAATATTTAAAGTAATGCGTTACCAATATTTGTAACGAAATGACATTACAAATTACTTTTAAAAAGTCACGGATTACTTCCCAAGTCTGTTTCTGCGCAACTCGAGACTCAGTGCTCATCCTAGACACCGTAAGCGCACCTCCAACCTTGATGAAACATTTACACGCGAGTTGTTCGAGTTTGTACGAGTCTTCAGGCCCTGAATTATTGGTAAGGAACCTATGCCGCAAGTTTTTTTTTTATCCCTTGAATGAACACCTGCACAACGAAAACCCTCCAGGACCTTAACTCTTCGAACGTGATTACTGAACTAAAAAAAGTTTTCTTTTTGTACTTGAGCATAAGGAAAGCTTAAGTGGGACAGGACAAGTGACATTGCCTATGAATAAGCGTCATCTGAGCAGCCGTGTAACAGAGTGTTCGCCTAATATAAAAGTGATTGTGTGCTCCCCTTCCCCCCCCCCCCCCCCCCCCCCCGCTCCCCGCCCTCGGCATTTTCTTAAAAACAATTGGACAAAAGATTGTCGCCAAGCTTAATGATGTTTTTTTTTCATGGCATTTTATATCGCGCACCCTTAAAAGCTGCTCTTGCTTATACTTGTACTGCAGATTATAAAGTACACGGTGGGACTACGGATGTCTCCAGAGCAAGAGATCCTTGGACCAGATTTGGTTGACCACGAGATTGAACACGACTACAACTCTCCTTTCCTCCAGGCCCTTCAGCAGCATTACTTCGACGTCGAAAAGACAAAGACCAGAGAAACTAAGGTTGACATCTTTAAAAGGGAGCGTCACTAAATGTTCAGATTTCATTTCAGTGTACTAATTGAACAATAAACGTATAACAAAAAATGCCCAATATATATCTAAGTTTTTGGCTTCGTACACCTACAATGTCGATTTGTTTTTGAACTTCTAAGTGATGCACCTTAAGTCACGTACATTGCCGTAACATGTGACAGCGTTTGATCAGACTTAAAAACAGCATGTTTTATAGGTTTACATTTATTAAAGGGAAGCTGGACATTTCCTTGAAGTTGGAAAACGACTTAGAGTTTAATGTAGGTACCTTGAATATTCTGGGTTATGTTTTCTATCAATCTTATTAGTTGGAGCGTCATAATTGCCAATTAACATTAGCACGTAGCCCCGCCCGTTGCGCCGATTTGAGTGCAGGAAAGCGCAAGAGCGGAGAGAGAAATTAGCAGAAGTGACGTCATCGACAGGGACAGGTGACCCTTACTCGCCACTAAACCAACGTTATTAGATTAGCTTTGCTACGGAGCTGCTCATAGACGCTGCATGCACGAGCAGTACCCCCCTCACTCACCACGACTCGCCTGGCGTCGGTCGACGCGCCGGACGGCTGCTTTGGTAATTGCAGTGTATTCTATAGGATAAGTACGTTTCAAAGCACGGCGTCTAGATGGCGCTTAAGCTCTGCTCTTTGGAACGCACAGTTATGAAACGAAAATCTAGATGGCGCTTCGAACGACGGCAGGCGGATTCAAGTGAGTAAAGGGGGGTTACACCCTTCCGCGGGAGTTCCACAACCGAGGTAATCTAGTAACGTTGCACTCAACTGACCCGGGGAAGTCGACAATGTCGTCACGACGCTTTTGACAGAAAACAGGCGGCCGGGAATTTCGCCACATGACCTGAGGAAATCGCTGCGCATACTTTTCAAAACAAATGCAGTTTACTTTTACTACTGCCTAATTCATGGGTGAAAACGCTAGACATGTCCGCTCAGCTTTCTCGAAAAGTGCTTCAGCTTCCCTTTGAGAAATTCGTAAAAGCTACACTAGTGCATTCTGGGCAAGTAAGTAATAAGGCCAGGGGGACATGATATTGCCGCCCGCAGAGCCGAGAAGGCAACCTTAATCACGGTCTTCTAGAAGATTCCCGGTCATTCACGCAGCAGACGTAACATTCCCTCTGCTTTGTTATTCTCGAAAGTGCCAGTTCATCCTCACCCCGAGCGCGCGACGCTCGAACCTTCTTTGCCGAACTTTCGAGATAGTGACGCACGGTAGATAAGCGGCTGCCCGCGACCTTGTCGAGTCAGTCTCAGTCTCGATCGCGCTCTCTGATTCGCCGCCGAATCGCCGCCTGCTTTTCTGCTACTTCGACGGTCTTTCGTTACTTATTTTTGGTTGGCACAAGTTCGCCCATTAAACCTCTCTTTTCAGTTCACCTTTCGCCTTCTCGTCGCCTTAATTCGTGACATTTCTGGTGGAGGTGCGGGGTACAAAACCCCTGCAGCGTACCCCTACAAGAACTCGATCAGCAAGCCCCATTTCCCGACGACCTTCCGTTGAAGACCCGAAACATCGTGCCAGCCGCCGTCTTCAAGGCCAAGCTCCGGAATTCGGACCACTCCCTGCGAGGACAAGGCAAGCGAAGACGACGATGGCCAACCAGTCACCGAACCCCGCCGCTCCTGCCGTCGTCTACCTGACCGTCGCTCCTCGTACGCCGACTCCCTTCCACGGCGAGATCCACGAGGACGTCGAAGACTGGTTGCAGCAATACGAACGGGTGGCGCTTCACAACCAATGGAGTCCCGAACAGCGTCTGCAAAACGTTTATTTTTCCCTCGAGGACACGGCGCGACACTGGTTCGAGAATCGTGAAACCTCGATTACGTCATGGGACCAGCTGAAAGGAGAGCTCCGGGGGACGTTCGCCAGTCATCACCGAATGGAGAGAGCCGGGGACCTCCTTCGGACGAGGACGCAAGGCCCCAACGAAAGCGTCACCAGCTTCGTTCAACACGTCCTGCGACTGAGCGCGCGTGCCGACCCACAAGCCACCGATGACAAGAAGCTGCGTGTCCTCATCCGCGGGGTGAGGGACGACATCTTTGGGGGCCTCGTCCGCTACCCGCCGACCACCGTCGAAGCGTTTGTCACGGAAGCAACGAACATGGAGCGCGCCCTCCAAGCACGCGCCTCCTACTACCAACGACATCCCGGCGTCGTTGGCTCCACGCTGCTTAATGACGACATCGGCGCCCGCACCCGCGACATCCGCGACGTTATCCGGGACGTTGTCCGAGAGGAGCTCCGAAAGCTGCTCCCCTCTGCTGAGCGTCCGGCGTCGCTGTCAGTCGCCGAGATCGTGCGCGATGAGGTACAGCGGGCCTTGCAGCCTGAAACTCCCGTCAACGTGCAAGCCCCTGAGGAACCGAGGCTGACCTACGCCGCCATGACCAGACGACCGCCGCAAGCTCCCTGCCAAGCTATGGGGCCACCACGACGTGAACCTCCAGTGCCACAGTACTCCCAACGTCGCGAAGAACGGCAGTACGTGCGCCCGGAAAACCCAGCACCCAGGAAAACCGACGTGTGGCGAACCGCCGACCGACGCCCGCTCTGCTACCATTGCGGGGAAGCCGACCATGTCTACCGCCTTTACCGGTACCGGCAGCTGGGGCTACGCGGCTTCCACCCCGACGACCCGCGACCGCGCTACGGACAGCGACCTAGGGACATGGACGAATACCTTACGCCGCTGCTGTCGTGGCGCGACCGCGCCACGACAGCAGCGGCGTAACGCTCGCTCGCCCGCTCGCTCGCCTCGCCTCGCCTCGGCTCGCTCGCTCGACACGGCCGGCATGGCTCCGCCAGCTACGCAGCAGGAGACAAGGCTTAGCGGACAGCCGCTCGACAGTCCCCACACGTCCCTGCCGTCGCCGCCTCCGTTCGACTTCGCGAACCCCAGCACTTGGGAACAATGGATTACAGTCTTCGAAGACTTCCGCTTCGCTTCGGGACTACACCACGCCGCCGACGAGGTCCAGGTACGGACTCTTCTCTACCTCATGGGTTCCTACGAGGCTCGGCGCGTACTTGAGACATTCGGCCTGTCTTCGGAAGCGCTACTGTCCTTCGACGCCGTCAAAGAAGCCTTCACACGCCACTTCGTGCATCCTACCAACGAGGTATACGCAAGCGTCGTGTTTCATCGTCGCATCCAAAAACCCGGCGAAAGCGTGGACGCGTTTTTCACGGGGCTCCGGTCGCTCGTCAAGAAATGCGGTTATGCGTCGACCGCAGTTGAAGACCGACTCGTAAGGGACCGCTTCGTCGTGGGGCTTCGCGACAAGGCACTCGTCGACAAACTCTGCCGAAGTCCCAAGCTATCGCTGGACGAAGCCCGCCTCCAGGCTCGTGTCCACGAGGACGCCGGACGTGCACGTGACACGCTCTTCGCAGAGTCTGTTCCTGGCCACGTGGTCGCCGAGACACGCAAGCACGACTCCGAGGGTCGACAACGCTCCGGGAAAAACCTACAGCGCAAGAACACACGCACTGGCAAGCACGCGGCCCGCGACAAGCACGACGGCGACAGCCCCTGCCGTTACTGCGGCCGCACCGCTCACCCCCGTGCGAACTGCCCGGCACGGGACGCCATATGCAGCCGCTGCAAGCGGAAAAGTCATTACGCAGCCGTTTGCGAACAGCGGGGCCGACTTGGCTCTCTTCAGCTGCACGCGGTGACGCCGCGCCCATTAGCCAAGTTCACGCAAGTCTCCGTCGACGGTCACTCCGTGAACTTCAAGATCGACACCGGCGCCGAAGTCACAGCCGTACCCGAGACTTTTCCAGGCCTCCCTCCACAACTTCAACCGGCAGAAGGCCAGCTCACGGGACCAGGAAACCACGTGTTGACCGTTTTGGGCACTCTCGACGCCACTCTCGCGTGGAAGGGAACGACCACAGTCCAGCGTATCTACGTGCTGCCAGCATCGACCACGCCATTACTTGGGTTCCCCGCAATCCAGGCCCTGGGCGTCGTCCGGTTCGCAGATGCTGTCACAAGCTCCGAAGGGCCACAGCAGCGCACGCCTCTTTCCCGAGACATCTTCGACGGGTTGGGCGAACTGCGAGAGGAGTACGTCATTCGTCTCCAACCCGGGACACAACCCTTTTCGTTGAGCACGCCAAGAAGGGTTCCCCTTCCACTCCATGCCGCTGTCCGGCGCGAACTCGCAAAGCTTGAAGCCGACGGGGTCATTCGCCGCGTTGACGGCCCCACAGAGTGGTGCTCCGGCATCGTCGTCGTTCCGAAGCAGTCTGGCGACTACCGAATTTGCGTCGACCTGACCCGCCTCAACCAGGTCGTCCTACGAGAGCGACACATCCTCCCCTCCGTCGAGCACGCCCTGGGACAACTTGGACAAGCCCAGGTCTTCTCCAAACTCGACGCAACGGCGAGCTTTCATCAGGTGAAGCTTGCAGAAAGCTGCCGAGAACTGACTACGTTCATCACCCCTTTCGGGCGGTTCTGTTTCCGACGCCTCCCCTTCGGCATCTGCTCGGCGCCGGAATACTTCCAGCGACAGATGAGCCGTGTCCTGGAAGGCCTCGAGGGTGTGGTAAACATGATCGACGACATATTGGTCTTCGGCAGCACTCAGGCTGAGCACGACCGTCGCCTGAACAACGTCTTGCAGCGTCTCCAGGCAGCCGGGGTCAAGCTCAACCTCTCCAAGTGCGTCTTTTCGGCGCGTGAAGTCAAGTTCCTGGGCGTCATGGTCAGCGACAGAGGCATCAGTCCCGATCCGGAGAAGATCAAAGCGCTCGCAGATCTCGAGGCTCCCTCAGACGTCAGTGGAGTGCGACGACTGCTGGGGATGGCCAATCACTTGGGACGTTTTCTTCCCCACTTGTCGGACACGACAGCACCCCTCCGGGCTCTTCTTCAGAAGTCCAGTACATGGGTTTGGGGTCCTGCACAGCAGCAAGCGTTCCAGAAACTGAAAGGGCTGCTCAGCTCAAACGCCTGCATGG